CAGCCGACTTGGATCTCCCTGGCAAAACAGAAGCAGCAAGGATTCCAGGACGATGCGGTGGCCAAGGGGCAGAAAAAGAGAGAGGAAGCGGTAGCCAAAACGGGAAAAGAGGGGGCAAAACCTACAAGCGCATCTCACCAACAAAAGGTAGAACCGCGGGAATATTGGAAGAATAACAGTCTGAATCTGTCGGTGTGGAATGTCAGGGGAATAACGGGGTCCTCAACTTACAATAGTTTGTTTAGTGACCCTTCAAAGTTACAGTGGCACAGAAAAGAGGGACTTATGACCTTTGTTTTCACATTTATGACCGTTGCAGCATCCCCACGGTCCCAGGGTGGACCTTGGCAACCGACTCATATTTATGACGGTCGCAGTGTCCCTGGGGTCACGTGATCCCTTTTTGCTGAGTAGCAAAGTCAAGGGGGGGAAGACAGACTCACAACCGTGTGGCTATCTTAACAGCTGCAGGGATTCACCTTACCCCTGGGGTGGGAAAGGTCATAAAACCCATTTAACGACTGTCTGATGTAGCAACAGGAATTTTGGACTCAGTTGTGGCCGTACGTCAAGGACTGTCTATATTGCCAGCTGCCTCAAGGGTGGATCTAGCCCGTCGGCGTGAGCAGAAAAACCCTCCCACGTCCTCTTGAACAATCTTTTTAATTTTAAATGTAGTGCATTTTTTTTTACTATATAAAATGTAATGTTTTTAATTTTTTTAAAACAAAATTGAATTTTTTTTTTCTTTTTACTTTACAGCAAGTAAGCCTGACTAGCGATGCTTCACCCAATAAAAGTATCCCTTGCCAAAATGTGTGTCTACTGGAGAATAAAGTAGCGTTGAAGTCAGCGCCGTTGGCTGCCAGAGGTAATAACAGAATAACAAGAGTTGGAAGGGACCTTGGAGGTCTTCTAGTCCAACCCCCTGCTCAAGCAGGAGACCTTATACCATTCCAGACAAATGATTGTCCAGTCTCTTCTTAAAAACCTCCAGTGATGGAGCACCCACAACTTCTGAAGGGAAGCTGTTCCCCTGGTTAATTGTTCTCACTCTTAGGAAATTTCTCCTTAGTTCCAGCCAGGGGTTGGACTAGAGGACCTCTAAGGTCCCCTTTGACTCTTATTCTGTATTCTTTTAAGGAAAACCAAAAATGCCCATATCCCAATCATCCAGGTCATGGGTTGTCCCAAAGGTACTTTTGGGCAATTGGACGTTCTTGGTTTTTTTTTTTCTTTGAAAACGTTTCGCTTCTCATCCAAGAAGCTTCTGAAGAACTAAAGAGCTGAAGAAGCTCCTCGGATGAGAAGCGAAACGTTTTCAAAGGAAAAAAAGCTAAAAAAAAAGAAAAAAAGGCAAGTTGCCTTTTGGAACAAAGCACCTTTGGGAAAAGTGAAAATGGTATGATTCTCTTTAAGCCTCCAGACCTTCTTAATGTCCTGCGTTGTTTTTCAGAAGGATTTCCCAGAATGCCCTCCCAGGAAGGTCCTCGGATGGAAAAGGACACCAGATTGCCACCCATCCTTCCTGTGGCCTCCTGCAGCTCCACCAAACCTCCCTGGCTGTCCCTGGCTAAGAAAAAAGCCAAAGCATGGAGCGAAATGCCTCAAGCGGTTCAATAGCAAATGACAAATAATTCTTCTCACACTCTGCTGCCAGTACTAGTATTAGCCGCCAGAAGTTGACCGTATTTCTAGATATCTTGAGAAATTGAAGAGTTGGTCCAGGAGGAAACAAGATTGGCGTTTCTGCCAAAATGGGTGGCTTGGCACAACCACCCAAGGTCATTTCCATGCTTGGGTGTCCGTGGGCTACAATCCAGGTGGGTGAGGCTAGCCTACTTAACTCCTGGAGGACCAAAACTTCTGCTGAGATGATCGGGGTTTGCCCGAAGTAAAGTAGCTTCTGCTGGAATTTCTGCCCTCCTTACAGCCCGTTGGGATGTAGAAGGCCTAGGCCAACGTTCTTCGGACTTGGCTACTTGAAGATGTTGGCTTGAAGTCCCCCACCCCTCCATCGTCAGGCTGCCAAGTTTGGCAAACCCTGACAAATGTAGACCCTGGCTTGTTCCCCAACGGTGAAGATATTTACCTCTGTTTCTGCCCCCGTCAGTAATTCTCTTATTCTAGGTGAATTTTTTGAAGCTACCAATTGAGAACTTGATTCTGGAATTAACTCTTCCCTCTTGGAATTAACCCGTTTCCATCCTACTCAGACACCTTGCCCTAACTTCTCAACTCTTTGAGTGAAATCTCTTTTTGCTCTGTAAAAGAGATCAGAAAAAGCAATACGTCCTTTTACTTTTGCCTTGTTACTCGTGGTTTCTTTTTTTATGTCAATAAATAGCTTTTAAATATAAGGTAGGTAGATGTTTTTGTAATTCTTGTTTTTCTGGATCTCTCCCCCCCCCCTAGATTGACCCCCTCTTCTTTATGGCAGTCCCGCAAATATTGGAACAATGCTATATCACCCCTAGTCCTTTTCACTAGACTGATAGACATAGACCTTGATAATCCTTGATTATAAACCTTGATAATTACAAAAAAGATGTTGAGAGTTTGGAAAAAATTCAAAGAGCAACTAAGATGATCAGGGGCCTGGAGACTAAAACATACGAAGAACGGCTGCGGGACTTGGGTTTGGCTAGTCTAGAGAAAAGAAGAAACAGGGGAGACATGATAGCAGTGTTCCAATATTTGAGGGGCTGCCACAAAGAAGAGGGGGTCAAATTATTCTCCAAAGCACTAGAGGGCAGGACAAGAAACAATGGTTGGAAATTGATCAAAGAGAGAAACAACCTGGAATTAAGGAGAAACTTCCTGAGTGTGGACAATCAACCAGTGGAACAGCTTGCCACCAGAAATCGTGGACGCTCCATCACTGGAGATTTTTAAGAAGAGGCTGGACAGTCACTTGTCTGAGACGGTATAGGTTCTCCTGCTTGAGCAGGGGGCTGGACTAGAAGACCTCTAAGGTCTCTTCCAGCTCTATTCTCTTCTCTTCTCTCTTTTTTGGTTCACCAGCAGAGGGCAGAGAGAACTTTATAAAGAGAACTGCCAAGAAGAGGATTTTTAAACGGCTTTCCCAATCTCCCATCCGGAGCAAGTGAAATCCTGCAGGACTGGTGCCAAAATGTATTGTGTGGCCCTAATCCAGACCACTGAATTAAAGCAGAAATCCTACTTCGTGTTTTTTGAGGAGGCCTTGCAACTTAGCGTACTCTTGTGAAGTTTTTTTTCCTCTTGGAAGCAGCTCTCTTCAAATTAAATTTTATTGCAGTTTTTATTGCTATTTTTGCCCATCCTTACTTTGCATTTTAATTTTTGGAGAATCAAACTAAAACAATCGACTTGGTTGGCCACAGAGAGCAGGGAGATTCCCGTTCATCACCAAAAATGTTTTTTGTGGCAACACAGCATCAATATAGCCTTGAATTTTTTTTTAATATATTTAAATAGGTTAAATACTATTTAAATAAATATATTTAAAAGCTAGGTGAGGAAGTGTGACAGGCCCCAGGAGAGGGCCCGCCATAATTCCTCAGCCACCAAACCTTTTAAATATATATATATATATTTATTATTTAAATAAAAGATGGAAAGGGGCAGCTGGAAGCTTGCAAAGTGCTGGGACCCCTCCTTATTTTTAGTTTTCAAAAGTGCCCTCAAATAGATCTCCCCGTATTTTGATAAGAGATTAAAAAGAACAGGAGGTTGCATCAAGGACTTCACAGATGTTACTCCTGCCCACAAGTTTCAACCACTTTGCAAACTGCTCCCCCCCACCTCAGGCCCCTCCTTTAACACATCTACAACTCCAGCAAAAAATAAAATAAACTCAGGCACAATCTCACTTGCTAATAAGTGGTGCTCAAGTGCAAAAAGACATTCCTGTTAATATTTGTAATCTTCTGTTTTGGGTTTCATTTTATTTTCCCAAAGGGAGAGGGCAGAATCTCTGTGGAAGACGCACTTGGACCCAAATAAGGCGCAACACACACACACACACACACAGAGAAACAGTTCACAATTCTAAAAGCACTCAGGAATAAGCATCATTAAATGCAATGGGATTTACTTTGGAGTAAACACACATAGCCTCTTGCGTTTTACAACTGAAAAAAAAAAACCCTCTGCAAAACCAAAATCCAAGCAGAAACATCGGTGTGACCAAAATTATATAGTTATTCCCGAATCCTTCGGGAAGGTTTCAGCAATCCATTGCTGCCGTTAAAATAATTCAGACATTGTAGAAGACAGCGAGCTTAGTCTATATGGTAACAAAATAAAAAGTCAAGAAGAATCTGGTGCCCCCCCCCCTTTTTTTTTTTTTAAAGACCGGCACTTTTTGGAAAAGCTCGTCCCTTTTTAGGAAGGTGTATTAAGCTGGAGAAGGGGCTACTAGATTTTTTTCCTGATTTGTGAATATTTTAGCTTCACATTAACTGGATTTATTTTAATGCAACAGTTCTAAATAAAGATTAAATTAAATAATCATCCTTAACTTAAGGGACGCTGGGACAAAGGAACTCACGTCTGCTTTGTCCAATTCTAATATAATATACAGACAGGCGCCTATATGAACGTAGGGACTTTGATTTAAAGGCAGCTGCTGAAAAAGGAACTCCCAAAAAAAAAAAAAAAAAAGTTTGCTGGAAGAGGAGATTCGTAGCATTCCCTGGGACTTCCAAGTAAACCTTGCTTGGAATTGCCCTCCTGAGTCTCCTATGGAACATTTCGCACTGTTTCTGCTTTGCAGATCCACGCTGGGACCAGCTGAATGATTACTGCAGCTTAGAGAGAGGACTTTTTTTTTTTTCCCATTCAAGAGGTGGGAAAAACTTCAAGTCCTGAGAGTTTAAGGCCCTCCGTAAAGTTTGTCTGCCTGCCTTCGGCACAATCGGCCAACAATTGGAAGTAGTGTGTGTGTGTGTGTGTGTATGTGAGAGTGAGAGTGAGAGAGAGAGAGAGAGAGAGAGAGAGAGAGAGAGAGAGAGAGAAGGCCTCGGATGCAAGGGAATTCACCCCCCCCCCGTTCACTTTGACTGAGTGAGGAAGAGGAAGGTTAAAATGCTCCTGATGCCTTTTAGACGAGCTTTCAAGGATGTCATCGCTAGGAAAGGAAGTTGAGCTTTGTTCTCCAGAGGAAGGACGGCCAGTATCCACCAGCACCAAGCCGGACCGTCGGGGTTCACCTGCAACGAAAAGGCACATCTGCAACAAATCTGTAGGAGATGGCCGGGCTGAGCTGGAGGGAGGGGTCAAATGCGTCATCAGTCATGAGTCCCTGTGTGCCCACAAGAGATCTAATTCCAGCCCACCTTGAATGCCTTTCTCTATTTTATATTTTGATAAACTGATTAAAAAAAATACGAATGAGGTCAAATCTGGGTCAACGGCCAAGGGGATGAACTTAGCTGATTATTTCACTGAGTATTTTTTATATCCCAATACACTATATTGTTCTTTCTTCTTTTATTTGCTGTGGCCACTGACGTAATCAGTAAGTTAAACTAAAGCATGATTTAAAAAAAACAAACAAGGATATCTGGAGGAAGTTGGCTTTACAACTTAAACTGAGTCATCTTCTCAGTTGAGGATGGAGGTGTGCAGAGTTAAGGGTCAGGCCTTCCCCTGCTTGCTGGTACCTGTGGGTCTGGTTCTTTAATAGGCATTGGGCCGAAGTGATGGATGATACGAATCTTGAGTGGGGATTTCAGCGTGTTGAACCAGGTGCGGGCCTGGTCGTACACGGCGCTGTGGAGGACAGCCAGGTGTTCAGAGGCCTCTCCGTGGACCTAATATGGGCACAGAACACAGCAAGAGTTTAGGCTGAACCTGGAGACACAGGAGAAGGGAGAAAAAGACTTTTGTCAGGCAGGTGCAGGGAAAAGCAACAAAGATGATTAGGGGACTGGAGGCTAAAACATATAAGGAACGGTTGCTGGAATTGGGTATGTCTAGTTTAATGAAAAGAAGGGCTTGGGGTGACATGGTAGCAGTGTTCCAATATCTCAGGGGTTGCCACAAAGAAGAGGGGGGTCAAGCTAGTCTGCAAAGCAGCTGAAGGCAGGACAAGAAGCAACGGATGGAAACTAACCAAGGAGAGAAGCAATCTAGAACTAAGCAGAAATTTCCTGACAGTGAGGACAATTAACCAGTGGAACTCCTTGCCTCCAGAAGTTGTGAATGGTCCAAACCTGGAAGTTTTTAAGAAGAGACTGGACAGCCATTTGTCTGAAATGGTATAGGGTTTCCTGCCTGAGCAGGGGGTTGGACTAGATGACCTCCAAGGTCCCTTCCAACTCATTCTACTCCACTCCACCCCACTCATTCTGGATGATCACAACAGGAAGATAATGGTTAGCCAGGATTCGGCTGCTCTACCTTCTAAGTTATTGCTCCTTCCCACTCACCCCCTGCAAAAAACAGATAGTCCTCGACTTACAACAGTTCATTTAGTGACCGTTCAAAATCACAACGGTGTTGAAAAATGTGACATGACCGTTTTTTCCACAGTTACGGCCTTGGCTGCATCCCCAGGGTCACGTGATCAAAATTCAGATGCATGGCAAAACTGGTTCATATTTATAAGCGCTGTGGCTTCCCAACATTGTGCGTTTCCCCTTTTACCATTTTCTGAGGAGCAAAGTCAAAGGGGGGGGGAGCCAGATTCACTTCACAACCGGGTTCCTGACTTAACCCACTGCCGTGATTCACTTAACAACGGTGGCAAGAAAGGTCGCAAAATGGAGCAAAACCTGCTTAACAAAGGTTTCACTTCGCCACAGAAATTTTGGATAGCTCAATTGTGGCCGTAAGACGAGGACTACCTGTTTTGGCCAAACCTTAGAAAAGCCTTTGGGGAGTGGGGGGGGGGTACACCTTAAAGCTATGTTAGACAGGTGGGCCTGCCCCCTTTCGCCTTTCGCAGCCGGGACCCACCTTCTTGTCCTCAATATATTCAATGTCCGCCGTGTTGTAGCCATCACACTTGCTGTGCCGTATCACCTGAAACCGCCTCTTGCCTATGCTGTCCACCACGGATCGCCCGTCCTTGAAGACCTCCACGTTCCTTATCTCTAGGATACAGCCGTAATCTGCAAACCTGTTTCCCCGAATAACGGAAGCAAAGAAAACAGGATGAATCCGGGATCTGTAGCTCGTGTTAAGCCAGGCGTCTTGCTCTGGGCTTCAAAGGCTATCTAAACAAAGGCGACACGTTAGGTGTGAGCTCGTCAATCATCTATGGGCATGAGATGGATGACCATATGCAAGAAGGAGGAGGAGGAAGAGGAAAGATTAAATAATGAAATCTCTACCTGGAGAAACCAGGAGATGGTGAGTTCTAGTTCTACCTTAGCCATGAAAGGCAGCTGGGTGCTTTTGGACCAATCACCAGGAGACTGGGACTTCTAGTCCCACCTCAGCTGGATAACTTTGGGCCAATCACCAGGAGACTGTGAATTCTAGTCCCTCTTTAGCCATGAAAGGCGGCTGGGTGACTTTGGGCCAATCACCAGGAGACGGTGAGTTCTAGTCGCACCTTAGCTATGAAGCCAGCTGGGTGACCTGGGGCCAGTCATTCTCGCTCACCCCAACCCACCTCAGAGTTGTTGCTGTGGAGAAAAATAGCAGGAGGAAAGTGTGCTAGATATGTTTGCCACCTTGAGTTATTTGTAAAAATAATAAAGGTGGGTTATAAATCAATAAAACCTTGGGGACTTTCCCGAAATGCCAATCATTTTTTGAGAGGCGCATTAGTAATTTCACCTATAATTTTCCTGGTCCTTCCCCCTATTTGAATTTACTTTGAATGCTATATCACTTGGTTTACAGGAAGCATGGATGCAATTTTCTTTCTCTTTGAAGCTTGATGTCGGGAAAGCTAGGCTGGAAGGAGGAGTCAAGCGAGGGCCTAGCTTGGAGTTACTGCATAGTCACAAGGGGCAGAAGCTTGACCTCCCCAAGATGCAGGAAATCTTATCAGTTTACTCCCAAAGGAAGGCAAGCCCTCTAGGGCAGTGGTGGTGAACCTATGGCATGCGTGCCAGAGGGGACACTCAGAGCCCTCTCTTTGGGCACACGTGCCATCGCCCCAGCCCCGCCTCCCCCCATGGCCCCCTCCTCACTAGCAGCCCCCCTGGAAGACGACTTGCCCCCAGGCACGGCCCACGTGGAGCAGAGCAGCCAAGGACATGGCAGCCGGGCAGCAGAGACAAAACTCCGCCCTTGTGTCCTGTTGTATGTGCAGACAATGCTGCGGGGCACGGGTGGAGGGTGTGGCCGCCATGGCGCAGCTGGGCCACCTCGATGATCTGCTGCGGCGGGCTATGGAGACAAGTGGGGCAGAGAGGCAATAGGGGGCAGTTTTGGGGCACTCGGTCTCTAAAAGGTTTGCCATCACTGCTCTAGGGAGATTCTTGTGACAGAGTTTGCAGACAAACTTGCTGATTTTCGTTATTCATAAGTGGCTCCGGTTGCTTGCATCTGGCCCTTAAACATGAAACACGCGGCGTCAGTTCTGATGTTCCTCACAGGCTACTCACCCTTTGACGGGGTCTCTAATGCACATGCCAAACTGACGGGTGCCTGTCTCCATACATCTCCGAACCATCAGTCGGTAACAGGGCTCAAAAATATGCAGAGGGCAAGGAACGGTGGGGTAGGCCATCGTGCAGACAAATATGGGGACGTTCTTATTCAAACTGCGGTGACAAATTTTATATTAAACAAGTACCACACTTGCTTGCTTATTTTTAAAAAAAAAAAACCAGAAGAAAAAGATAACTCATAAAGGATAAAATACTTATGCATTTGTAGTTTTGCAAAACTCTTGCATAAGTAGGCTTTGCATAAGTAATACGTTTCCTTCTAGCTCAGTGTATCCCAATTTTTGCAATTTTAAGAGGTCTGGATTTCAACTCCCAGAATTCCCCAGCTAGCAGGCCGGCTGGGGAATTCTGGGAGTTGAAGTCCTGACATCTTAAAACTGCCAAGGGTTGGGAAATAATGCTCTAACCCAGGGGTAGGCAACCTTGGCTCTTTTATGACTCGTGGACTTCAACTCCCAGAATTCCTGAGCCAGCCGTGCTGAGGGGAAAGGGAGAGGTTTCCATGCTGAGCCATGCTGGCTCAGGAATTCTGGGAGTTGAAGTCCATGAGTCATGAGGGGGCTATAGTTCCCTCACGCTGGCTCAGGAATTCTGGGAGTTGAAGTCCACGTCATAAAAGAGCCAAGGACCGCTGCTCTAGATTTTTAATTTTTTTGTATTGTGGAGAATCTGGTGAAGCCCACAAACCTCTTTTTAAAAAAAAACATACTAAATGCATAACACAAAATGGTGAAAGTTGTACTGGTTTTTTTCCGCCCGAATTTACAGATTCCCTAAATTTTGTCCATTGAGTCTCAAGGGGTCTATGGACCCTATTCTATGTAAACAACAACACCCAGCCTATTCCTTGAAAGATAACCTAATTTGGCAGCTGAAGTTCACACTTCTGAAAGTCACTAATAGAAACACTATTTTAAGAGCTTCGGATATCAGAACATACCCTCAATACACAACCACCTAGCGCAAACCAGACTATCGAAAGTAGGGATAATTCAAAACACCTTTTATTACCCAAACTATTTTTAACCTAAGTCCTGCAGTCAAAACGATGTCAACTCAAGCTGGGCCGCAAAATAATTTTTCTAATGATTACAGGACGTGGAAAACTGGGGTGACCTACTTGGAAAATTCAGCCATTTCTTCCTCGTAAAGCTTTTTCCTTTCGGCAAGCTCCGCCGGAAGATACTTGGCGATTAATTCCTCCATCAACACCGTCTTGCGAAGTTTCTTCATGGCCAGGCACTGGAGGAGAAAAGAGACCTTTCAGAAAAAACAATGGGGGTCAACCGTACCTCGGGAGGGCCGATAAAGCAGGAGCCACCACTGAAAAGACCCTTTTTTGTGGTTCCATCTTTTCTTCAGTTGGCCAGTCTAATGCTTGTAACCCTAAGCCCTGCTAGTTTAACGATGTTAATTTACCTCCAAGAGGTCTTCTTTGCACAAGGGGCACTCAGGGTTATAATCCAGGCATCGTTCAAGGCATCTTAGGCAAAAGGTGTGTCCACAGGGGGTGGTGACAGGTTCATAGAAGAGCCTGGGAGAGGAGAAGTCAGAAGATATCACAGCACCTTCCATGGACTAGAAGAGATCCAAGGTTACTTCCAATTCTGTTATTCTGTCATTCATTGCACAAAAAAGACTATGCAACTACAACTCTTGAGTGTAGTATTGCTTAGAATTGGATTACTGCTTCTGAGCTGGCCTGTCCATAGGAAAAAAACCATCAAATACCTCATGCACAGGGAACATTCCATATCAGCTGGATCCACACAATCAAAGGCAACGCGATTTTCAGAACTGGATTCTTCTTGCTCATCACTTTGATCTACCAGAAAAGAGAGAGAGAGAGAGAGTCAACGCTGCAAATACTGTATATTCTGGGTTTTATATACTGTATACAGTATATACTGTATATATATACAGTATATAATATATATACTATTTCATTAGCCGGAACCATAACAGAGAGAAAGAGAGAGAGACAGACAGACAGACACACAGAGAAGACACCACGGTGTGATTATTAGGAAAAAAATTATGCAAATATCATTTTCTCTTGAGGCATCCAAACTGCAAACATGCAGCCATTCTAACACACATTTGGTACTTCAGGGCAACAGATGTAATCTTGCAAATTTAACATTAAATTCATTAAACTTCTGTTCATCATCCTGGATGAGAAGTGAAACGTTTTCCAGGGGGGAAAAAAAACACCCAAGAAAGTTCAGCTGCTTTTTGGAAAAGCACCTTTGGAACCCCCAGGTTCTGGATGATGGAGAATCTCCAGAGACTTGTATGGAGTCGGTTTCCTGGTCTGGTTTTACCTGGTGGATCTGACCATTGCTGAGTAGTGTGGTTGCTTGTTAACATAGCTTACCCATTTTGGCCATTTTGGCAGGCAGATCCGAACCCGCAGCCACTTCAGCCTGGCGTTTTTGCTTCTGGGGGCTCTTCTTCCCAGCGACGGTCTCCATGGGGGAGACCACATCTCCGTTCTCATCCAGGCTTCCGTCCTGGCTAGGGAGGGGGTTTCCTGAGTTGTCACAGTTGGTCATGTTCTGGTCTTCACAGTGCTTTTCCTGGTCCGTGTTCGCCTGTACCGAAGACAAGGAGTCATCCATGATCTCTTTTGAGACTTTTTCTGGCCAACATTTGTGCTCCAGGTGCCACCAGCAGAGACCACGATGGCCTCTCATCCCACCTGGCCAACAGTGCCCACCTGAGTTTATCTGAGTTTATTGAACCAAAACTAGCTGCTTTTCAGTGTTGGACAAACGGACCTGTTTTCATTTGGCCAATTTTGCAGCGGTCCTTAAGCTAACTCATAGTTTGCTATGGACCGTTTTGTTGGAGTTGTGTTTTTTTTTGAAAGAAAAGCCATCATAAACCATGGTCATGTAACTGTGGGGTGCTGCAAACAGCCATAAATGCTGGCTGGTTGCCAAGCACCAAATTGCAGTCATGTAACCAACCACATGGGTGTGTGTGAGCGCACCAATATTAGAACTTCAAAACCAGGTTGCCCGTCCAATTTCGGGGATCTGTCGTTAATTTAGAATGGTCACTAAGCAAGCGGCCGTGAGTTGAGGACTAGATGTTGACTGTTAAAAGCACCGGCGCTGGAGCTTCAAAATCAGGTTGCAAGTTCCTTTACGGGAGGGTCTGGCGCAATTTAGAACGATCACTAAGGAAGCAGCCGTTAATGAGGACTAGCTGCAATCTGATCAGAGGTTGACTCTTTTAAAATACCATCTATTTGCACATGCAGTGTTTGTGGGGTCAGCTTGCTTTGATCTCACAGCATCCTGCAACGTAGGTTAAGCCAAGCCACAGCTTGGGACCCAATGCCAGGGTTTGTTTTCAAGGTCAGAACGGGCCCTCCAAACCAAATGTTTTCTTGGCCCGGCGATACGCCAAACCAGCCCCAAATTTAATCCTCTGGTATCAAGCGTGATTGTATGTTTTGGCCTTCCAATACATCACCGCCTGACAGGCAGAGGTAACAGATGATTACAAAGGTATGAAAATCATAGGTTCTCTGTCTCCTGCTTTTATACAATCCGAATCCCCAAGCTTCTTCGTAACACAGAGGCTGGAAAACGCTGACCTCCGAAAAGAGCTCCTAAAATGGTTTTTTTTTTTTTTTGGCCACTCCAGCAAATTATCATTACTGTACAAAATAAGGTGGTTTTTTTTTTTTGAGTGGAAAAGAAGAGTAACCTCAAAGAGGCTGGCATTGCAATTGCTTGGCACAATGTCTTAAATTTGGTCTGGGGTTCTCCCAGTTATAGGGTCTGGACACCATTATACATATTATAACGGCGGCACGTATTACATATGCGCAACATTGGAAAAATGAAAACATACCAACAAGTGCAAAGATTATAGGAAAGATTTTAGACTGTGCAGAAATGAACAAACTAACTCTAGAAATGAAAGACGAAGAAATTACTGAATTTCACGAGGTATGGGACATGTATTATAGCTGGTTAGAATTAAGGAATAAAAAAGTAAGAGAAGTAATGTAAATAATTGTTAATAAATGTAAGAGATATAGCACATAGTATTGTTAAGGAAAAAGGAAAATGTATTGTGTATTGTGTATTTTGTTTGTTTGAAAAATAAAAAATATATTTTTTTAAAAAAAAGTTATAGGGTCTGGAAAGCCCCCAGAGCAAAGGAGATCCCTGTCCATGCTCAACAGCTGAAAAAAGCTCCGTAATTCCTTTTTTTTTTTTTAAAAGCCTAACTTCATTTTCAACCCTTATCCATTATCTCGGGGTGAAAGAGCAAAACCTGAATTCTGCGGCTTTGTATCTGATCAGTCCAAGGAGACGCGTTACTGGCTGTCTCCAAGTCACTGCACTGTTGTGGCTTTGCGCAGTTGTGGCTTCACACTTGGCACATGAGAGGCCAAGGCACAAGGCCACATAACACTCTTGCTGATAACGTATCTCCCCCTTTTTCCTTCAGCATCTCAAAATGACCTTTAGTTTCAGTGGAATCTCTTTACAAAGCCCAGAGATTATTGCTGGAAAGAGGTCCAGATTTATTTATTTCTCAACCTTATTATTTTTATAAGTAAGTCAAGGTGGTGAGTGGACCTAATACTCCTTTCTCCTCCTATTTTCCCCACAACAACAACCCTGTGGGGTGGGCTGAGACAGAAGAACTGGCCCAAAGTCACCCAGCTGGCTTTCATGCCTAAGGCAAGACTAGAACTCACAGTCTCCTGGTGATTTGGCCCAAAGTCACCCAGCTGGCTTTCTAGAATTTGAACTCGGCACAACAACACGGCAATTTTTGTTCAGAATCTTGCATGGGGAAAAAGTTGGGGCTCTCCAATTATAAGAATGAATCCCTCCCCTTTTATCACTATAGTTTGTTCCAGTTGGATTCCAACCTCGCCAGTCCCCAGTTTGCAAATTTCCATCAGGAATGCATCCGTATTTTAAAACTTTTAAAAATCCCAGTTGCTCATTGCCACTTGTTTGCAGGCATAACTAGCAAGATACACTAACACAGGTACAAGGATGAGCCAGGATTACATTTTGGTGAGGAAAAAGAAAATAACCCACACAACTAAGATGATTAAAGTCCCGAAGACTAAAACATATGAAGAACGGTTGCAAGATTTGGGTTTGGCTAGTCTAGGGGATATAAAGAGGGGCTGCCACAAAGAAGAGGGGGTCAAATTATTCTCCAAAGCACCAGAGGGCAGAACAAGAACCAATGAATGGAAACTAATCAAGGAGAGAAGCAACCTGGAATTAAGGAGAAACTTCCTAACAGTGAGAACAATTAACCAGTGGAACAGCTGGCCTCCAGAAGTTGTGGGTGCTCCATCACTGGAGCGTCACTTGTCTGAAATGGTATTGCTGGGGTAGGCAACCTCGGCTCTTTTATGACTCATGGACTTCAACTCTCAGAATTCCTGAGTCAGCATAGGAGTTGGGAGTTGAAGTCCAGGAGTCATAAAAGAGACGAGGTTGCCTACCCCTGGTAGGGTCTCCTGCTTGAGCAGGAGGTTGGACTAGATTTCTTTCTTGCACAATCAAGTAAAAATAGATTTCTTTCTTGCACAATCAAGAAAAAATAATAACCAAGCACCAAATTGACCACGGGACTAACAAAACGAAAGCTGGAGCAGTTTGAGATCCGGTAGCCAAAATAAAGCAATTTATTTCTAGTGCAACCTCAATCCAGCTGAAATCTTGCAAAGCTGGATATGGCTAGTTGGAACTGGGTCAGAATACGAACTTAAAACTCCATGTGCTTGCATGACACCAGTCACACTCTTTTTCTTGAACTATCTCAACCACTTTTAAAAAATTACATAACCCTTCCATATATTTCAGTTGTTATCCAGCAGAGAATAAATTCAATGCCAGGTCATAAATCACGGGGTAGTTTTGTTTTCTGACACTGTTTAGAAAGAACAAAAGTATTTGCGTTGCGTGGAGCACTAAAGGAAGAACAGAGCTTGTAGGGTTTACATGCACTTTTTTCGACTCACAAGCAAAGCAACTTACATTTATTTGTGTTCCTCCTATTTTAAGAGAGAGGGAGAGAGAGAGAGAGGAAAGAGAGAAAGGAGAAAGAGGGAGGGAGGGAGGGAGAGAGGGAGGGAGAGAGAGAGAGACTGGCCCAAAGTCACAAGCCAGCTTTCATGGCTAAGGCACGACTAGAACTCCCTCCCTCCCGCTTTCTAGGTGGATGTTTTAACCACTAAGAGCGAACTGCCTCTCTCTTGTCTACATTAGTACACAATTCGGTTCCTTCTCTACAAATGGCATTAAAATTGTTTACATGCATGCAAAATGAAAAATAATAAAAATTCAGGGAAGCAATATCATATAAGATAGACCTTAACGTACAACCACAATGGAGCCCAACATTTCTGCGGTCAAGCGAGACATACATTAAGCGGGTTTTGCCCCATTTTATGACCTTTCTTGCCACAGTTGTTAAGTGAACCCACTGCAGTTGTGAAGTTAGTAACACGGCTGTTAAGTGAATCTGCCTTCCCCGTGGACTTTGCTTTAACGGTCGCAAAAGGGGATCGCAGGACCCCCGGGACTCTGCAACTGTCAAAAGGTCCATGCCAGTTGCCAAGCGTCGGAATTTTGATCACGTGACCCCGGGGATGCTTGCAAAGGTCGCTAACAGTGAAAAACGGCAATCAGTCAGTTTTTTCCAGTGCTGTCGTAACTCTGAACGGTCACTAAAGGAACGATTGTAACGTCGAGGGCTACCTGTGGCGTATAATTCTGTTGTCGTTACGCAGGACCGTTTAGACACCAGTTCCCAGTCTCCAAAAATCTTAAAAAGTATTAAGCAGGGGCCAGTCAGGTTTTTTTTCTCCCCCCCCCCAAAAAAAGGTCCAGTGCAATTTCATAAACTGATAAGAGGTCTCCTGCTTCTTTTTTCTTCTTTTTTTAAGCGAGATCAAGCTGGATTGCATGTTTTTTAAGCGAGGAGATCAAGCTGGATTGCCCACAGAGAGGGCCTCCTTAGGGTGCCGTCGGCCAGACAATGCCGGCTGGCGACCCCCAGGGGGAGAGCCTTCTCTGTGGCAGCTCCTGCCCTCTGGAATGACCTACCCCCCGACCTATGTACAACTACGGACCTGCACCTCTTCCGCCGAGCCTTGAAAACCCATCTATTCCATGCGGCCGGCCTGGCGTAGTTTTGATTGGGCTTTGCTAGGGGTTTTATATGGGGTATTTTAGAGCAGGCCTGTTATTTAATTTGATTTTAGAATAGAAAATTGTGTATATTTATCGTGGTTTTTATTATCGCCTGTTCACCGCCCTGAGTCCCGTAAGGGAGATAGGGCGGTATATAAATTCAATAAATAATAATAATAATAATAAATGTTTAGCTAAAAAAAGGTCGCGGCCTCTTACCTTCCGGCCCTCGGATTCGGCCTTCTCGTCCTTGCCCTCCAAGACGAGACACAACAGAAACTCACGAAACGCTTCGTCCGTCTTCCCCAGCAGACTCAGAGCGTGTCCCTTTCGCACGTGGCCCTGAAAGACGGAGCAAAAGGAGCAACGCCCCCACCTTGGCCATCGGCGGCGAAAGCAAAACGGGCCTGGCTGGCCGTGAAAAGCATTTCGAGGAGGTCCCAGCAGTCCTCAGCTTACAACGGCTCGCTCAGTGACCGTTCTAAGTTACAACGGCACTGGAAAAAAAAGCGACTTAGGACTGTTTCTCCCCCTCCCCCGCGCTTATGACCGTTGCAGCGTCCCCAACATTCAGACGCTTGGCAACTGACTCGTGTTTATGAGGGTCGCAGCATCACAGGGGGTCAAGTGACCCCCCTTTCGCGAGCTTCTGACAAGCAAAGTCAACGGGGAAGGCGGGTTCACTTCACAACCGGGTTACTAACTTAACAGCTGCAGGGATTCTCTTAACCGAGAAACGGCGTAAAATGGGGCAAAACTCATTTAACAACTGTCTCACTTAGCAACAGAAATTTGGGACTCAACCGGCCCTCTCTGTAGTGCTGGGCGCCGGCATCATTTCGTTCTCTGTTATTTCAGCAGGTTACCTCTACTTATTAGGCCTCCAAGGCCGCTGGCTGGAAAAGCAATTTTTTAAAAGGCTGAATTGATTCGAAGCATCAGGCTAGAACAGTGGTTCTCAACCTTTTTAATGCCGCGACCCCAACCGGTCGTAAGTTGAGGACTAAACCGGTCGTAAGTCGAGGACTAAACCGGTCGTAAGTTGAGGACTAAACCGGTTGTAAGTCGAGGACTACCCAACCGGTCGTAAGTCGAGGACTTTCACTGCCTGGGAGCGCCGTGCATGCGTGGTTCCGCCCCCTGCGCCGGCCGAGGCGTAGCTGGCAAGCGGCAGAGACGGAGCAGGCCGACCACCAGCTGGCCCAGCCCAAGGGAGGTAAGGCACCCGCTGGAAAAGGGGAAAAAAAATGGCGGACAGCCTTGCTTGGCGACCCCCATGAAATGGTCGATCGACCCCAAATGGGGTCCCGACCCACAGGTTGAGAACCACTGGGCTAGAAAGTTTGCTGGCCCTTGTTGCAGCTCCACAAACAAGCAGGTCACACAGCTGCGCCCCCCTCTGGGCCACCCCCCAGCATTGTGCGCTCATTAGGCTGGCATTACAGGTAGTCCTCAACTTACGACCGTTTGTTTAGTGGCCATGCAAACAGCCCTGAAAAAAAGCGGCTTATGGCCGATCCTTACACTGAACGACGGTTTGAGCATCCCCAGAGTTACGTGGTCAAAATTAGGGGGGGGAGAGAGAGGGGGGGGGAAACAATACGAGACAACTTTGTGGAGTTTAAACTCACCTTCACCCAATAAGGCTGGAGCTCGCAGGCCATTTTGGCATCTTGCAAGGCCTCCTCGTAACATTTCAAAGTGGAATTGATTTGCGACCGGTTGCGATACAGCAAATGATCAGAAGGAGCTGTAAACAGAGGACACATCAACCTTAATAGCTTGCTAGCCCTACGGCTCTTATTTGCTCCGGCTGGGAGCTACAGTATTTCTACGTTTTGTTTGCTTCCAGAGAATATTTCCTTTTAAGATTTAAAATGAAAAAAAAAAAGTTTAAAATTAACCGTGGAGTGCTTGCTGGCTTTTTTCTCTCTTTCTCTCCCTCTCTCTCTCTCCACTCCACCCTGTGTTTCTCTTAGGGACTGCTGTTCTCAGCCATCCCATTTCTCTTATATAAGCAAGCACTCCGAGGGTTGCATAAATGTGTGAAATGCCAAAGTAAAACAGCACCATAACAATTCCGGAAGCCAGAAAGAGGGGGGGGGGGGGAAGAGACAGAGACAGACAGAAAAGGAAAGCAATGTTGCAACTGCTACACCAGAGAAAGAGGGAGAGAAAACATCGTAAAACTCTTTTGTGTGTATAACACTTCAAAACCCCACGAAGACACTGTCCGGAATTTTCACACTGCCTGAATTTTGGGTCGCTTGCAAAGTGCCCGGGGAAGTCAAAAGTTGGCGTTCCTGGAAAGTACCCCGTTTTAAAAACCAGACTTCCCCCCCCAAGTAGATGCCCTCCAGGTTTTTACAACTTTCCTGCTACCACTAAAAATCCAACTCAGCTGGAGGGGGGGGGTCCTGGCTGAGGTGGGGAACCCAAGCGGCGGCGAAGGTCATTTCTGGCCGTTTCCGCAAGGGTAGCCATTTTAGATTGCCGCAGGAAAGCCGTGTTGAGGGTGGATGCTCAAAGCCAGACAGCTTTGGTCACAAGCGAGGAATCTCAGGACGGAAAGGGCAGTTTTAAAAGCTGCGCAGAGACCCCGAGACCCCCCCCCTCCCCGAGTCAATTGGCCCTGTGGTTTCCATCGCGGATCAATTCCTGGCTGGAGAAGGTGGACTAAAAAGACAGCAATGCAGTTTTGACAGCTCCACGAACTCTTTTTTAAGGTATCGTAAGATTTGTGCCTGGGTGTTGTTGTTTTTTCCCTGCAGGAGGATGGTCTCACTAGCCACACTTCTGTATGAAATAGCTCACTCACTACAGTCTGTGGGACGCCCTGGTTGCCATTTTGCAACACAGCTAAAGAGAAATGGTCCCGAAAGCCGATGATGCTTTATAAGGAAGAATTTCCAAACGCCTGGAGGCAGAAACAGTATGGAAACGCCACAACCGGGCATCCCCAAACTTAAAAACCCTCTTTTCATCCATTCAACAATAGATAATAAAATTCAACAAAGGAGAGGTATTTGCAGGTCAGGGTTGAAATTTGCCTTTTTTGAGCTTGGTTATTTTCTTTTGGGTAGATGCTTGGGTCTATCCAAATCTGTCTGGAGTCGTTTTCTTTGGAGTAGACATTGGGATAATAATAAAGATCGGCAAGAAAACCACCAAGCTCAGAGAGCACCCAGGACCCCTGATAATAAACCCAGATTGCAGGCAATTGAAAGAATGGGTGGGGGCATTTCTCTGCTCCTGAAAATTTGCCAACTGGAGAAGAAAAAACAGCCAGAGACCTTGGGGGATGAGTCAACAATAGCTTGTAGGACACAGGGCAGAGTGACCTGCTGTTGATTTTTGAGGTCTCAAGGCTTTCTCTTCTCTACTCCCCCCATCCCTAGTTATACAACTGTTAAAGGGGGGGGGGGAAGAGAGGACACTCGGTCCAAGCTAGCTTATGCAACCAACTGTCCTCCTGACCTATTTTGGGTTCTGATTAAAAGACAGCAGACTGCCATTCATCTCTGCAAAGAAACCCATTTCACAGATGTGGGGAATTAGCAACATCCTCCTCCTGCTGGTGCCTGACGCTACCAAACGATGCATTCATTGCTCACGCCTACATTACTCGGAATCTCGGCTTATCGGGAAGAAAGAAGGCCATTCTGGTTTGAGCCCCGGATCCCTGGCGTTTCTCTGGGGCTCAATTCCAAAGGTCAGTGCAAGCCTGAGAAACGAGCTACAATCTGTGTTCTTCAGAAGAGGCTTTCCTACAAAGGCCCAGCCCTACAAATCTCGACAAAAACTTGGAAAAGCATCTCTTCCCCACATTTGGAAGCACAGGCCTGTCTGCATTCAGGTATTCGAAGCAGACCGTGATCCAGTTAACTGTTTTTCTGGCACCGAAGGAAGCTTTGGATGGCATATCCTGCATTTGTTCAAATCTTAGCCTCGAACAGAGGCTTCCCTCGAAAACCTTGGCTAATTTGAACTATGGTTTACTTTATGCAAAGAACTGTCCGGAAAGATAATAAGGTCTCCTGCTTGAACAGGGGATTGAACTAGGAGGTCTCCAAAGTCCCTTCCAACTCTGTTATTCTGTTAATAATATCCTTTTGGTTATTACCTTGCAGTACTGGGTCCAAGGCAGAAATACGTACAAGGAAGATATAAGTCAAAAGACGTTTGAGGGATGCTTGTTAACCTCAATAAATAGCCATAGATCAAAGCTGGGTAAACAGGAGGAAGGATTTGGGGAAGTGGGTTTCTGGAAGGACCAAGACCCTCAGGTCTTGATAGCTAATCAAACTTCTGGGTAGATACTAGTTGGTTTGTTGGCCTGTTTTCTTGGGGACAAACACTGTGATCCATGCATAATAAATAACATTTAGGCTTTATGCTTACTAGGAGTAGCAGAAATGATCAGCTTAGGAGAAAACTTCTCTAGAAGTTAATACCTTCACGCTTTTACTGAGCTACTCACTCTGTTTCAACCATGCCTGTTGTGTGACCCAGCTTAACTATGTGACTTCCCGAGTCACGCAAACTCAAAATGTCAGGCTAACAGAATAAGCCACGATCATGGGTGCCAATGCAGGCAAGAGTTGATATGGAGTAGAGTGGTTATTGGAAGGTAAAGTCACTTCCCTGCAGAATGCAGGAAGTATAAAGTCCTGGCAGTTAAAAAAAAAACAAGGAAAGTCACAGAGCAAGATAAAAGACACAAAATAACACACCACACTGAATCTGAAAGGAAGGAAGGAAAAAAAAAGGCAAGGGAAAAGGAGAAAGATTGGAGTAACTTAATAATTTATGTGGAAGTTTTCCAACTTTTTTCCCTTTTTTTTTCCTTCCAGAAATTAGGGCAGGGATGCCTTAGTTATGGGTCAGAGTGGCGTCAATCAAGAGACACAACGGTGCCCTCCCATCAGTTTTCTTAAAGTACACTTCCCTCCCCCCCCCCATTCTTAGAAAAATGAAAGTTTACAAAAGTTAACAAAACAGGAAGCAACAACCCATCATTGCTGGGAAAAACTGCTTGAACAAAGCAGGCGGACAAAACCCCAAACAAAAAACGATTCAAAGCCCCAGCTGTTGCTGCCGGAAGCCCCCTTCACCAGTTGAATTTCTGCCTGCTGGCAAAGGGCAAAAAAAGCCAGGGGCAGCTTTAAAAATTGCAGGCAGCCCCTTTTCTCCCAGGCGAGACCAAACAACTTGCACCCAGAAGTTGCGAATGCTCCAACACTGGGAGTTTTTAATGGGAGATTGGACAACCGTTTGTCTGAAACGGGTTTCTTGCCTGAACAGGGGGGTCGGACTAGAAGACCTCTAAGGTCCCTCCAACTCCCGGTCTTCAAAGGAGGAGGAAAGTTGCCGGGTAAAGAACAGGGGAGAAATTTACCCGGGTGTATTGAAGGCTTCCCCTCCTCCCAACTCTCTTTTCTCCGCTTCCGGAGACACGCGTCAGGTGTCCACGTCCCGCGGGGCGAGTAAAGAACAGGGGACAAGTTTACCCTCGTGTATTGAAGCCTTCCCCCCCCCCCACACACACACCTCCTCGGCTACTCAACCACTTAGGAGAGCCTTTTTCCACCCGCTCCAAAACGCTCCCCCCTCCCCTCCCAGGCGCCTCGATGGCGACCCGCGTCACGTGTGAACGCCCTTCTTTCTCCCCACGCGCTCCGCGTCCAAAACAAGGAACACGTTTACCCGGGCGTATTGAAGACCCCCCCCCTCCCAACCCACTCGGCTAGTTCCCACAGGCTCCCAACGCTCCCCCCGCCCCTTGCCCTGCTCCTCGAGGGAGACCCGCGTCCCGTGCGAACGCCCCTCTGCCCCCGCGTCCCGCGCGACTCCTCACCCAAGCGGAGGGCTCGGTCGTACTTCTCCAGCGCCGCCTGCAGCTGCCCCTCCTGGCACAGCAGGTTCCCTTCCTGGCGGAGCCGCGCCGCCTGCACCTGCTCGGGGAAGCCCTTGGCTAACAGGTGGCTCAGGATGACGTTGACCCGCAGCCGGGACTGCGCGCTCTCGCCGCCCGGGCAGAGGCTGCAGACGCCGCCGGACGCCCCCGCCACCGGGGCTGCTGCTGCTGCTTCTTCTTCTCCCCCCCGCCGCCGCTGCTGCTGCCGCCGCTGCTGCCGCGCCCAGCCCCGCCGCTGCTCCGCGCACCCCTTGCAGAAGGTGTGGCCGCACAGCAGCGAGACCGGCTCGCAGAGGAAGCCCCCGCACTGGCCGCAGCCCAGCGGGCCCCACGGGCCCCGCCCCGCCGCCCCGGCCCCCAGGCGCCGCTTCAGCCGCTCCACCAGCTCGCGCATCGCCGAGCACNCCGCGCCGCCTCGCCCGGCCCGGCGGGGCGGCTGCACCCGGCGAGTGCGGAGCTGCGAGCGGCGCCCGTCGAGGTGCCTCCTGCGGCGGGTGGCCGCCGCCGCCGCCGCCGTCGTCACCGGTGCTCCCGCTGCTGCTGCCGAGCCGCGTCCCATCGCGCCGGCTGCTCTCACGCCCCCCTGGGCGCCCACCCCGCCTGGACCCGGGTTATATAAAGCAGGGCGGGCGCTGATTGGCTCGCGCGGCCTGGACGGCGCCGCTGATTGGACGGCGCCGGCGAGCTGGTTACAAAACCGGACACTTTGCTGGCGTTTTGTAACAGGCGTTTTGTTGCAAGCGGGGCGGCGGCGCCTGGGAGTATTTTTTTTTTGGGGGGGGGGGAGGCTGCGAGGGGGTGTTGATGGTGCTGGGCCAAGGGGAAGGGAGGGGACCCCTTCCCTGCCCTGCCCTCCCCCAAATCTGGAATGGGGAAGGGTCTTGGAGAGCCCGGGGCCCGGTGGTCTTTTTTTGCAACCCCAGACCTCGCTGGAGTTTCCGGGTGGGAGGTGGTCCTCGACTTGCAACCGTTCGTTTAGTGACCGTTCAAACTTACCACGGCCCTGGAAAAAAGGGGGACTCGGGACCGTTCCTCCGCCCTCGCTCCCGCTGCAGCCTCCCCCGGGTCACCTTGATCAGAAGTCAGTCGCTTGGCCGCTGTCTCACATTTATGACGGTCGCCGTATCCTGTGTGATCCTCTTTTGCGACCTTCTGAAGAGCAAAGTCAAGGGGGGGGAAGCTGGATTCGCTTTAACGACCGTCTTGCTAACTTAACGACGGCCGTGATTCCCTTAACAGTGGCGAGAAAAGTCGTAAAATGGGGCCCCGAACTCGCTTAACAAATGTTTCACTTAGCAACAGTCGAGGATTACCTGCACTAGCTTGGTTTTGCTGGCCGGGAAGGAGCTGACATTACGAAACAGGAAAAATAGCCTGTTAAAATTGAAGCGTTTTTTGTTTTGTTTCCAATTGGGCGACTTGAAGAGGTGGGGACTTCAACATCCAGAATTCCCCAGCCAGCAGGGGGAGCACCCGTTCCTGCCCTCATATCTGGGGAATTCTGGGAGTTGAAGTCCACCTTTATTTGAATCTCGCCTTTTGCTGTGCTTACAAATAACTCAAGGTGGTAAACATTGCCAACACACCTGCCTCCTCTTATTTCCCCCACGACGACAACCCTGTGAGGTGGGCCAGCCTGAAAGAGAGAGGGAGGGATTGGCTCAAAGTCACCCAGCTAGCTGCCTTTCATGGCTACGGCAGGACTTGAACTCACAGTCTACTGCTAAGTTGGAAAACACTGCTGTAAATCAAGCAGGTTTTATTTTTGAGCCCTTATCTCGAAGTCAAGACAGGCGAAAACTGGGAGGATCTTGTAATCCTTTCTCACAACTAATATATGCTTTTTAAAAGGCTGTGGGAGCTGCATTTCCCTTCTTCGGTTGCCCCCCCCCATTTGTCAATCAATTAGAGTGGCAGCTAAATAATCTTGTTTTGTCAACATGCACTTTGACATTGTGTATTTCTGCCCAGATGTGGGTCCCTGTCTGCTGCCTATCACAAGAGTTAATAGTTTGGAACAAACAAAGAGCTCTTTAACCAAATAAAAAAAAAAAAAGTAGTGTGCCAAGAACAGATTGATCGTCTCTGTCCTGCAGTTTGTGATGTAAAAAAAAACCCCAAACTGCTAGAAATCCAGACGGGAGGGAAAATAATGAAAATCTTGGAACATCTGCTTTGCTTTAGACTAGATGACCTCCGGGACCTCTTCTAGTTCTAATTCTGGGACTTTGTTCCAAAGGGTCGTGGTTGTGATAGCCTAAGGAGACTTTGGGGTGTGTACTTTGAAGGCAGGAATGTTGTGGGTCATCACAACTCTGGATTCTTTCAGTGGCGATGTTGGCTGGTGTATTCTGGGAGTTGAAGTCCACACATCTTAAAATGGCCACGGTTGGGAGAAACGCTGCAATTAAGAGGACTTAGGCCAGGGGTAGGCAACCCTGGCTCTTTTATGACTCGTGGACTTCGACTCCCAGAATTCCTGAGCCAGCATGGCTCAGCTTGGAAACCTCTCCCTTTTCCTTCAGCATGGCTGGCTCAGGAATTCTGGGAGTTGAAGTCCACGAGTCATAAAAGAGCCAAGGTTGCCAACCCCTGGCTTAGGCCAAGCAAAAAGGAATTAATTGGTGACCATAGGACGAGCTTCTGGATCGCTTTTGAGCCTTGGTGGGGGGCTTGCAGACCCTGTTTCCTGGCACATGCAGGTCGCAAACACGGAAGTAGCACAACATTTCCCATCACTAGACAGGTGGGTCCTCAACTCACGACTGAGCCCCAGACTTCTGTTGCTAAGTGAAACATTTGCTCGGTGAGTTTTGTCTCATTTTACGACCATCTCACCATGATTGTTAAGGGACTCTCTGCAGTCGCTCCATTCCACCCCACTCGCCTTCCTTACACAAGCAATTCAGGTGCCTGCGTCTTTAAAGGGGAACATCTGCCTGATGCTGTCGTTGCACGAGCATCAATTCTGCCTCATGGCAATTGGTGCCTCCTCAATTGGGCTGCCTTGCCTGGCGTCCTGCGGCATCTATCCTGCGGAACTCAGGGCCTCAGGATGCGGCAATGATCAATAATCTGAAGGTTTGGAAAGAGCATTACTAGGAATTAATCTATCAGTAGCTTCAAGGCAGGATTTTAGATTACCTACAGCAGCAGCAGGATGGTGCCATTTATTCACGGGCTGTAGGGGAAACACTCAGCCTATGCCCTATTACAGTAGTCCTCAACTTATGACCACAACCCAACCTCAAATTTTCACCGCTAAGCGAGACAGTTAATTCTGCCCCATTTAACGACCTTTCTTGCCACGGTTACTAAGTGAATCCCTGCAGTTGTTAAGTTATAACTTGCTTGTTAAGTGAATCTGGCTTCCCCCCCATTAAATTTGCTTGTCAAAAGGTCACAAAAGGGGATCACGTGATCCCGGGACACTGCGACCGTCGTAAATATGAGTCAGTTGCCCAAGCGCCTGGATTTTTGTCCTAAGATCACGTGATCCCCTTTTGCAACCTTCTGACAAGCAAAGTCAATGCCAGATTCACTTAACCGGGTTACTAATTTATCAACTGCATTGATTCGCTTAATAGGTAATAATATTAATAGAATTGGAAGGGACCTTGGAGGTCATTTAGTCCAACCCCCTGCTCAGGCAGGAAACCCTGTACCATTTCAAACAAATGGCTGTTCAGACTCTTCTTAAAAATCTCCAGTGTTGGAGCATTCACAGCTTCTGGAGGCAGGTAGTTCCACTGGTTAATTGTTCTGACTATTAGAAAATTTCTTCTTAGTTCTAGGTTGCTAGCTGTGGCAGGAAAGGTCGTAAAATGGGGCAAAACTCACATAACTAATGTCTCACTTAACAGAAATTTGGGGGTCAATGGTGGCCGAAAGTCAAGGAGTCCTTGGGGTGCTCTGAGCTTGTTTTCTTGCAGACGTTTCATTACCCAAACTAGGTAACATCACCAGTGACTAGCAAGGACCCCTCATTTCAACCCTGAGCTACAAAAAATTCTCCTTTATTGGTACCACCTGTAATCCTTCCTTCTATTTTCCTCATAACAACCCTGTGAGGTAGGCTGGGCTGAGAAAGAATGACTAGCCCAAAATTACTCCGTTGGCTTTCGTGGCTAAGGCGGGATTTGAACTCATGGTCTTCCAGTTTCTAGCCTGATGCCTTAACTGGCTCCTCGCAATTTTGCAGGGTGGGGGGCACTGAACTGAATTCTGTCATGGATTTTGCTGGGATTATTTTTTTTCCCTTCCAAAAAGACTAAAACCCGCTTCGGTGCCCGAAGATCAGACAGTTTGAAATACACCAGGAAAATGAATCATAGTTCATCTGAAAAGGCTCTTTGTCCATTAGGATAATTATTTTTAAAACGTTTTGGATGAATCATACATAAAAGGGGCTAAATAGGAATTATGCTGTTAACACTTATGTGGGGAATTCAAAGTTTTTTAAAAAAGTTTTGTAAACAAGTTTCCTACAAGCAGTTTTTGACCCAGAAAATAACAACAACAAAAAAAATATGTACAGCCAGCTTCTGTAAGATTGTATAACCACACACGTAATCACAAAAAGGTGTCCTTGTGTTTTCTGTGCCGCTGAGTGCAACTCTTCCTATGTTGAAAACTTTTTTTTTTTCTTAAACGCTCAGTCCTGTATCTTCAAAATGCTTCTTTTCTCCAAGTCGTTCATCTCCTTTAAGATGAGAGCAATGTTGTACCTTAATTCTTGGAATTTGGCCACTGGGACCTGACGTATAAAGTGAAAGGAAAGAAAATACAATTCTTTATAAAAGCGGAATTGGTCTCTTTCTAACCCACATTTATTTAGCAATATAGGTAGTCCTTGACTTACAACAGGGCTCTTCAAACTTGGCCCTTTTATGACTTGTGGACTTGAAACCCAATTAACTCCTCACAGCACTTCACAAATACAGAGATATCCAATTAAAGCATCCATGGTTAAAAAAATTAAAACACATCAGAATGACAACGACAAACGTTCCCTAAAATTCCCTTATCAAACAACTGCTTTCCTCTTTCCGAAGTCAAACTTTTCTACATTTAAAAACGTTTTGAAAAATACCTCATGAAACTACACATTATTTTAAAAAAAATCCCTTTCCCAAAACTACAGATTAGTCTATGAATCGGATTCTGAGGTAAGTTAGAATCACAGGCATAAAATACAGATTCTGGGGAGCATTTTGAGCTGAAAAATCTACGGGAAAATTCAAAGAAACGTCGTCAACACCAAGTTTAACTACCTTGCTAGCAAGACTTACTTCAAAGCGATGAGCGGATCCATCAGAGAGCTTCAGCTGCATTAGGATGGAGGGCTGCAGAGCACGGGCCAGAGAGCTGAAATTAAATATATTAACACAGACTGAAGTGGCGGCTGAATCAGGATTTAGCAAATTTCTTTCCATTTTTGTTGTCATCACCAGGGGAAGCCAATACAAGAGAGTATCTGTTGCTCAGAGTTAAATGGTGGGGTCCTTGGTGCTCTCTGAGCTTGGTTGTTTTCCTGCAGACGTTTCATTACCAAACTAGGTAACATTATCAGCACTGATGATGTTACCTAGTTTGGTAATGAAACGTCTGCAAGAAAAGAACCAAGCTCAAAGAGCACCAAGGACCCCAACAGCCAAACAATAAAACGGGAAGAAGAACTAAACGGAACAGAATGGAATAGCTTACGTCCTCCATCTGAATCATAAACGGCGACAACCTGTATAGGCAACTCAGAACCTGGGTTAGAGTAGGCCAGGGATACCAAGCATCTCATTATAGAAAATAATAAAAAAATGTTTCTTGGATGATCAGCCGTAAATCATACAACGATCTACCTGCCGTTCCTGATCACCCATCATCTAGGACAGAGGGAATTCTGGGAGCTGGAAGCCCACAAGTCTTAAAAGTTGCCTGATCTAGAAGCAAAAGCAAACCCAAGCTGCCTCCCCACCAGGAGACGTGCTAGAATTCCCAACCTGCAGTTCTCTACCTGGTTGAAATGGTGACATCAACTCTCCACTTGAAGTCGTCGATTCCGGGCAGCCGGTTCCCCTGTTTCTGGAGAGCAGCTTCAAGAAGGGGGCGTCTGTAGGGAAGAAGAAGGGGTAATATTGCCTAGGAAGCAGATGAAGGACTCTTAAAAGGCAACAAATGGGAAAAACTGGCTTTTTCTCCAGGCAAAAAGGAAGGGGCATCATTCTTTTGTTTAGGGAGCACACGCTTATTATGTTCATGCACTGCTACTTTAGTTGGCCCATTGCAAGTTTTTCCCTACCACTGTCTCGAGAGATTTTTATTGCAGGAAACAAGGCAAGCCTAAAGAGAACCTGATGGGAAAACTGACTAACCTGTTCCCGAAGACCACCGTTGCAAAATCAGCTATGAACTCCTCTGGTATCCTGAAAAAGGGGGGAGAATCGGTTAAGAGAAAGGCAAATGGGCCCCAGTAAATTCTCAAATTACCAGACGTTTATCTTTGAAAGAGGAAAAGAGGGAGGGAGAGAGGGGAAGGAAGAGAGGGAGGGGAAGGAAGGAAGGAGGAAAAGGAAGGAAGGAAAGAAAAAAGGAGGGAGAAGGGAGGAAGGAAAGGAGGGAGGGAGAAGGAAAGTGAGGGAAGGAAGGAAAAGAGGAAGAATGAAGAAATGAAGGAATGGAGGGAGGGAGGGAGGAGAAAGAAGGGAGGGAAGGGAAGGAAGGAAGGAGGAAAACAGGAAAGAAAGGATGGAGGAGAAGGAGAGAAAGGAAGGAGGAGAAAGAAGGAAGGGAAGGAGAAAGGAAGGAAAGTGGGGGAGGGAGGGAAGGCAGGATTCTGAAATTGGTTTTTCTATCTGCCCTGGAAGATTTAAGAAAGACCCCCATAATTTACAAACATCACCATCAGGATTGGCCAAATCCCTTGCAACATGTAATTTTTATGCTTAGGTTAGTCATAGAAAAAAGAAATGGTGGTTCAGCTGAGCAAAAACCACACACAGCAGTTTGGTGTGGGAGAGAAAAGGAGAAAGGGAACACAGAGACAAAAGGAGGGTTTAAAAAAAAAAAAAAAAAAAGAGATCAGGAAATCTGGAAAAATAGTTAAGAGCCGGAAGGAGAGATGGCATAGCTAGCTGGGGAATTCTGGGAGTTGAAATCCACATATCTTAAAGGATGTCTGGCAGCAGATGATCACTCGAAGCCTCTTATAAAACAAAACCACGCTGGACCAAATGGCTGTCAGCTCTGCTAAGATCTCTGCCGACAAACGGAGACCTACCTGAGCGATTTCAAATCTTCTTTAAATACCTGTCCAAGGAAAGAGGGAGAAGACATTAGAGAGTCCCCATTTGTATCTCCTGCAAAAAACTGGGGGGCCAAAGTCCTGAGAAATTGGGGAATAAGAAATCTGCCCTTTTTAAGGAAACCAAACTCAGATTGTGGGAACATAGCAGACGGATGACCACCAGGAAATTCAGCATCAGCAGATTCTCAGAGCTAAGAACGGGTTGAACTGTAGCCAGGAAGTGGGCTTCCTTAATTTTTTTTTATCTGCATAAGCATTGCTACTATTCTGGAATACTTTGCTAAGGACAATATGCATTGCTGCCTCCCAATTCTGAATTTCAAGTTATATTCCTCCATGTGAGGAAGAGTCTAGTCTAGTTTAGTTTAGACCAGACACATGATGGAGTAGAGATGTCTCCATTTCCTCTGGGTTTCTTATGCCTTGAGCTTTTAAACTGACAGAATTTCTAGGCTGTCGAATAACTACGTACGATATTACAACCTGGGTTATTTTATAACGATGCTGCCTTGATGTTAAGGATTTCATACTGCAGAGATGATAAAGAGTCGTTTATTATGGTCCCGGAGCAGAGCTGAAAACAAAAACATATTAAAAATAAAAGAACAACGTAATGGGATAAAAATGATACCATGATCATTCAAGGGCAATCGAGGTATGCTAATTTTACCCTAACAGAATTTGGCTAGGTTTAAGCAAGCAAAGTCATACTGATTGCATCACACAGTAAAAAAAAAAAACAATCCGAATTTTGATAGAAGTTAATATTTGTAGCTCTGGGTTGAATTGTGGGGTCCTTGGGGCTCTCTGAGCTTGGTGGTTTTCTTGCAGACATTTTATTACACAACGAGGTAACATCATCAGTGCTAGAAAAGAGTAGAGCTTGTGGGTTCAGAATAGAATAATGGAGTTGGAAGGGACCTTGGAGGTCTTCTAGTCCAACCCCCTGCCCAGGCAGGAAGCTCTATACCATTTCAGACAAATGGCTGTCCAATCTCTTCTTAAAAACCTCCAATGTTGGAGCACCCACAACTTCTGGGGGCAGGGTGTTCCACTGATTAATTGTTCTCACTGTCAGGAAATTCCTCCTTAGTTCTAGGTTGCTTCTCTCTTTGGTTAGTTTCCATCCGTTGCTTCTTCTCCTGCCTTCTGGTGCTTTGAAGAACAGCTTGATCCCTCTTTTCTCAGGGGTTGCCACAAAGAAGAGAGAGTCAAGCTGGTCTCCAAAGCACCTGAAGGCAGGACAAGCAACAACGGTCCCTGATGCTCTTCAAATTTTGTTGTTTTCTTGCAGACGTTTCCTCACTAAACGAGCTAATTCATCGTCAGAATTTCTTGGTGTTTTACCAAGTAAGGCATTATAAAATTGGTTGGAATCTCCCCATTTACCCATCTGTTCTCCTCTTTTGCATCGGCGCAATTCACATTTAAACAGGGATACTCACTTCTTGCTTGAGAGAAGATGGAGGGAGCCTCAAAGCTTCGCGGAGCAGAGCGTACATGCCAGATAGGAGGACCGCCAACTGCCCATCTGACAGATTGGCACTTTCGGCAACCATCTTTACCGAGGCCTGGCACTCCTTTCCTTCCAAGGCGCTGACGGTGGCTATTGAAATTGAGAAACCAAATAAAGGCGCCAACAATTCCCATGAGGCTGTCCCCGAAGCAGCATCACGGACCTGATGATGTCTCCACAGACATAAATGCTCAAAGGCACAACATTTAAACACAAGAAACTGGTTTAACACCCTCCCTCCCCCCTCCACCCCGTCCAAGCATCAGCCTGAAAAAAACAACAACCCTTATTTCAAGACTGTCTCCGTTCTCCAAAAACCCATAGAAGCATTTGCAAACAATGCTTTCCTGACAGTGTGTCTACAGGAAGTCCCCAACGTACAGCCACAATTGAGCCCCCAATGACTATTGCTAGGTTGTTAAGCGAATCTTCTCCCATTTTACCACCTTTCTCAAGGTCTTAAGTGAATCAGTGCAGCTGGTTCCTTCCCCAAGCAAGAAGGATGTTGTTGTTGTTGTTGTTTTACCTTTTAGGAGTTTCCGGAAAATCTCCTTTTCTAGCTCTTGCAGACTCTTCGCCATGGCTTCCACCTGGGGGGGTATGCGAGGCCCCAGAAAACTGGCCCTGTTCACGCTGCTTTCGCCGGCAAGCCCCGGGGGCAGGTAAGGGGGCGACACCCCCTTCCCCGCCGCTGTCATGGCAGCTCCGCGTCCTGCGAATTAAGGGCAAGGCAGGCGAGGAAGGTGGGTTTTTTTTTTTTTGCAAAGCGCTGCAAAAGCGATCAAAGGCGGATCGCTCACGTGACCCCTCCCCATTCCCGGGGAACGTTCCATTCCTCGCGGGCTCCCCCTAGCGAGGGAAAGGCGTAATTGCCCAACACGTTTTGCCGGAGGAGGGCTTCCGGGCTCGCTTGGCGATTGGCCGGGGCTGACTGAAAGGGCTTCTGGGAGTTGTAGTTCTTCGCATCTGGATTGGCAGCTTTCCTCTCCTGCGGTGGCAGCTCTTTCTGCCGGCTTTTGCATCCACCAAGAAGCTGATGGGTTCTCTTTACAGCGGCCACATGTCCTTTATTGTAAAGGGCAGTTCTATTGATTGATTGATTGATTGATTGATTAGCCCTTGGGCCATATCAAAGTGCAAAGTTCCAGAAACAAATGATTACTAAAAGTTGATAAAAGCAATTTAAAATGGAATTAGATAAAATACAATTTAAAATGAAATTGGAATTTAAAAAAAAGAAAAGAAATTGGAATAAAATACAGTCTAAAATGAAATTGGAATAGAATACAATAATTTAAAATATAGATAAAATATGATAAAATTATATTTTGGCGTCACCCCTGCAATCTACCCCAATCAGTCCCACATATGCAGATCTCAACTGAACCATTTTGCTTAAGCACCGTGCTGTGTTAAATGTTATTTTCAGATTCTGGCCGGACGTAAGGTAAGTTGTTTTGATATGGGGATCCCAATGGGTCATTCGTTTGGTATATAGACCGATGTACCTGTCACCCTCTTATACAGGCAACAATAAATTAGGATGTGAAGTTCTTTATATCAGAAAACTGTCCTTTATTTAAAGAAAAAACGCAGACATTTTATGACCCAACTAGGTAACCTTCATTGGTGGTACAAAAGGGAGGAGGGTTTGTAGAGTGTAAGAGAAGGAGAGAAGAAGATTGTGGGGTCCTTGATGCTCTCTGAGCTGGCTTGTTTTCTTGCAGACCTTTTGTGACCTGACTAGGTAACTTCATCAGTGCTACAAGCCAGGGGCTTCTGCTCTTATTTTTACCTATCCTATTCTTACCTGCTCTCATTTTACCCATCTTATTCTTACCTGCTCTCATTTTTACCTATCCTATTCTTACCTGCTCTCATTTTACCCATCTTATTCTTACCTGCTCTCATTTTACCCATCTTATTCTTACCTGCTCTTCTTTTTACCTATCCCATTCTTACCTGCTCTCATTTTACCCATCTTATTCTTACCTGCTCTTCTTTTTACCTATCCGTGGCTGCCCTATCAGCGTTGGAGAGTAATAACCAGAAACCTCCGCATTCCCACCCTCCCCTGCAGGGGTCGCTGCAGAGCGGAAAGAGGCCCTCCTTGCGCTTAGAGCGCTCTCCTCGCCCTCCCGGCCAGCGGAAGTCAGCCAAGGCCACTTCCGGCAGCCGGCCTGTGGAGAATCCCGCCTTGGCCGCCGCGTCCCCTCAGGCGCCTTTTTCTCGGCCGCCGCCGCCGCGGCGCCTCCCCTCATGGCGGCCGGCTGAGGGCGGTTCAGGCCCGGCTCGGCCTTCCCTCGGCTCGCCATGGCCGGCGAGGAGCCGCAGAAGTTCCTGGCGCCCGACGAGCCCGGCGCCATCCTCTCGCCGCTGCCCCGCCACCCGCCCGGCTTGGGCGACGAGGGCCCGGCCTGCCTGGACGTCAGCGACTTCGGCTGCCACCTCTCCTCCTGCCACCGCACCGACCCGCTGCGCCGCCTGCACGCCCACAGGCGAGGCCCCGGATGGAGGGCGGGGGGGGGGGAGAATAGGCCCTCCGGTTGGCCTACCTCGCGGGGCTGTTGGGAGGAGGCGAGCCGGGGGGCTTCTTAGGCAGCCTCGGGGGCGCCTGGTGGGCCCCCCCCC